ATTTTTAAAGGAAAAGTGTTTGTGGAGAGGAACAAAGGTCACTATTTTGCTGGCAAAGTCTATTTACATTGTTTATGGAGTCATAAATAGGGAGTAGCCAGAGAAGTTCCAGAGAAGCTGAAATGCTGAAGCACACAATCCTTATGCAGTGTATTACAACGTGAACTTTATTTTCCACCAAAAAGCTTGGCTGCTAGAATACGTATGCATGGCATAAATTACAGCCACTTGAGGCAAGAAAGGAATGACCTATCCACTTAAAACACGTGGTAGCCCACGATGAAGACAGGGGCAAAAACATACAAACAGTTCTCACCATCACTGGACTGGCCATCTTCATTTCAATCAGCAAGAAATCTCAGTCTGTAACCAAGAAGCGCAACTCATATTAGTAGACCTGGTGGTATCTGACAGAACCCTCCTTAAAAACCTGTCCTAAGTCTTTAGTCCCTTCTTCAAGAGGAGAGTGTAGAGATTAGAAGAGTACTGTTAGTTTTACTCAAATACAAAATAGACAGGATTAGAGGGTAGAAAGGAACACTGGATAAGAGAAGGACAGAACCTTTAAAGGATCTTCACGGCCAAAAAAAATTCCAAATGAGAAGAGGGTCTCAACTTGCCTGAAAAAACAACCCAGGAGCCAGGAGAGCCCTCGAGTCACAACAGACCACTAAGAAATGCCTCTTAGGTCACATCTGTACCTGGAATGATCATCAGTGCTACAGAAGTCATGTTATTCCACTGGAATAAAAAGACACTGCACGCCAGCTCTCACTTACACAGAGTGACAGTCTCAGACACAGCAGGTGATCTCTGTAACTTCCAAAGAACTGAAGTCAGATGGAAGAAATTATCAAAACGCAGCTACAGCACAACATGCAGAAAGAGACAGACATTTCCTTTGCAGTTAAAAAGCAACCATCAGAGCTGTCAGTCAGTTTAACAGAGTGAAGCCAAAATAAGCCATCGCAAGCATCAGCTCCTACATCACCCAATACACAGAGTAAAGCAAATTCTCCTTTGCTGCTCTGTAAGAGAGCAGTTTAAAATATATTTATTTGAAGTTGAAGAGTTATTTGAAAGCTATCCAGATGAATAACCTTTCCTAACAGGGTAATCTCAGGAACAAGAATATTAATAACATTTTGATCTACTTCCATGAAGGAAACAACCAAACCAAAATCCTGTTTTAAATACCCAACTGCTTAATATGACCAAAAGCACAACTAGCAAAAAAAAACCAAGTACCAAGTGTAAAAAAAAGAAAAAAGTTATTTGAGAAACATTCTGTAGCTCTAATATCTGTTTAATTAGCATTTATGAATAAGTAGATTCTTTTGTGCCCTCAAAATAGAGATGAATGATAAAGTCATATCAAAAGAGTTATTTCAGTAAAACTTTCACATTAACACAGCAATGTTGCTGAACATTTATCATCTCAATGCAGGAATTTCTTAAAACGTGGGCAGTGGCAGAAGACAGGGGGATTTATTAGCAGTTTTGATCATGTTCTGTCACCCTTTACCAACCCTGCCACAAAGAATCACACACAATCAGTCTGAGGGCATTCAGTTCACCAGCTGCTACAAAAGTGAGACCAGTACTTAACCTCAGGAGACCTGATCAAGCACAGAGACCAAAAGCTATGATAACTGCTGCAGAGATTAGGAGATAATGAAACATCAGGGTCTGTTAAGCAGAATGATATAAAACAGAATGAAGAACTGAGAACTACACCAAGTTAACAGAAAGTATTTCTATACGCCATGGTGTGGAGGCAAACCATGTTTGGGTTAAAGTCAATGGTCAGATAAACTGGCAAACAGTTACATTTATGGAATCTATTGACCATGAGCAGTCTAAAATTGATAATTACCAGTTGTGGCTGTGAAGCTGGTTATGAGGCAAGGTGGAATGGACTTCAACAACAGAGATGGAAAAATGCTGCAAAGGTGTGCCTTCTTTCCACTGGAGAATGCAGCTGGGGAGCGGAGTTGCCTCTGTTTTACAGCAGAGTGCAGAGAGATGGCAGCTTCACGCCATGGAGAAAGGCCATAAGGTTGCCTATCGGAGCCCTCCTTTCCCCTGGAGAGTGAAGTTCTAGTAAATAGCCATTAGAAGGCATATGGTGAGTTACTGGATAAAGTCAGTCCATTAATGGGTCTCAGACACATACCAAATGACCCTTTCGGAGCAATAATGGAGGCATTACTTCTCCTGTAAATAAATAATGGGACTAAAACGTGTAATCCACAGAACTTAAAACCACAAAACTTCGCTAATCACCTTTTTATTGTGTGGAATTTAAACTAATTTTAGAAGAGTTCCTAGTTCACATGGTTGTGAAAAGCAAATGTGAACCAAGTTAAACCCATGCAGCATCTTCCCAAGTCTGCAGATTGTGCTAATGTCTCATAGCTTTGTCAAGCAACAGATGAATGAGGCTTACAGACTTCATTGCCACTAGTCTCATGAGCAACAGATGTCTATTTTTTAATGCCAAAACCTCGTTTGGAGCGCTGTTACACACAGAGGGGAGTAGTGAACAGCTGTAATTATTCACCAGAAGGCCACCACAAAAATGAAAAGACTTTTATTATACAGTCTATCCTCTTCACCCAGAGAGAAGCTTAAAGATGAAAGAGAAGGTGTCAGCCTCTATAGTTTTATGAGTTTCCTATCAAGAGACAGCCCTGAAGCAGGTTCCAGAAACAGCTCCTTGCTAAAGGTCCCAGACTTTCTTACAGTAGCTCCACTAAAAGCAAAGCTGAGGGTCTTATCCCACACTATAGAAATGAACATTGCTGCTTAAGGACAAGTGCATACTGAAGTCCTAACGGCAGTTTTAGATTACAGTAAGACAGGCACAAGTTCTCATTTAGCAGTCAGACACACTCCTCTCACCAGGGAGGAAACATTCGTGCTAGTTTCCCACTGCTGCCTACAGGATGGTTTGGGAGCAGAATGGGAACTGAGCCACGAGGTAAGGCCAGGCTCTCCTGGGCAGCCACAGCTTTAACTGCTCTGTACAAGACAACTCTTCCTTTAAAAAAGGATGCTGGCAACGTTTGCTTTTCTGTTAGGTCACAACAAACAGAAGCCCACAGGCTGAATTAGCAACACCGCTGGTTTTGGTGCCGTACTATCCAGACAGCATGCAGCATTGCACACCGAGTGTGACATACATACTGTGCCCTTCCTACTCATTCTCACACCTGACTATTCATTTCCCAACAGCTGAAAGGACTACCAGTACTTAAAACATGCTTTTTAATTTATCAGTAGCTCACCATGTTCGGTAGCTTCTGCATTTATTGTTTCTACATCTGCAGCATCATGCATCTCTTCATCCTCATCATCGTCCTCTTCTTCACCGTGTAGCTCTTTTGCAATCAGCTGTCTTGCCAGTTTGATGTTTCGTCCTTCATTGTAGTGCATTTTTCTCTTCATTTCAAACTGTTTCTTTTTCTCTGTGGACAAACAAACACAAATATTTACTTCTTCCCTTTTTTAAAAAAAAAATCAACTTATTTCTTCTTCAGAGTGGCAATAACTGCTTCCTAGGTCAAATTTATTCCTATCTTGAAAGTCCATTGATTATATGATCAAGCAATCACTGAATTAAAATTATTTTCTTCAAGGAAGGGAGTGTTCTTTTAAATGAGTCTGACTTATAAAAAGGCCCGTAATTAATGGGCTGGAGTGGCTGAAGCACTTTTAAAAGAACCTGTCTGCAAGTAAGGGCGAGTCTGAACCAAGAGTAGCGTCTAGTAACAGCATACAAAATTCCAAAGTTTCACAAGTCTTGTGTCTAAGGAAACTCAAGGACAAATTGAGATCTACTGGTGGGACAGAAGATGAACTTTTGCAGATGTCTGACTTGACTTCTGGCTAGCTCCCAAAGGCCAGTTACCAGAGATGTATTTACCACGTGCAGAAGAAAATATTTTCCACTTTTCCCATGGCCTGAAGCCTAACTTTGCTCCATATACAAAACATCAGCAGGTCTAGCAGTAACACATGATAATTAAATTAAACTTTGCTTATTGGCAGGCCCCACACTC